CCCCCCCGCACCCTTATATCCTCATCCTCATTCTCCTCCTCATCCTCGCTTTCACCCTCGTCACCGACCATCCCACCACCCACACGCGCTTTTAGTATCCTCGTTATACACACTTTCACACCTCGCTCAAGATACGCATTTTGCGTAACCAAACTTCTGTACTTTCGTCCTACCACTTTCTGGAACTTCTGACTTTCTTCGTTCCCATTGTCCCGCGTGTCCCGCTTCATCCCTTGTTCATCTACCGGTATCCCTACTGGCGTCTCATAATGGAATCATCGTTTTACCCCCACCGTGACGCCAAGCGTCTTTATTTACCCTCGTGTCGTCTCGGCAATGTCTGTGGGAAAAGTTTTCGTCAAGAAACCCCCCCATTAAGGGTGGTTTTCAGGGTCGACTTGCACCGTACGTACAGTTGCGTATTCTCATGGGAGAAGCCGTTTCGATTCACGACCATTCCCATTGTCAGGGTCGGTGCCGACTTAACATACCGACTTGGTATGGCCGTTAGTTAAGGGGTGGCTACGAAGGTAACCCTTGAAAAGGGGAGGATATAGTCTTGAATGGGAATCAAGAAGGTGAACGTAAGACGAGAAGGTCGTTACGCCGAGTCCTCATTCAAGACTCAAGTTTCTCTCGTTCCTATACATCGACTTATATTATAATCATACGTCATTCGTGTACATTCTCACGTGCACCGTATATGCTGATATACACAATTTCTTATACAAGCCATATATAATTATACAGGGGTCTGTGATACACGCTATATAAGTATCTCTGGCTACTTAATGTAAAACCAAGGGAGCTCAAAGTTCCCGAAAGGGGCAACGCAGGATCTTCAAACGTTTTCTCCACGTCACTCGACTCACCAAAGACTCCCTCAGGACTTATCACGAAAGAATCCTACAAGAGTCCCGGGAGTTTACTCTTTGCACCTGAGAAGAAAAAAAAAGAAAAAAAAATCCTTGAAGTTTCTCGGGAGCCACTCAAAACCGGGAACATCCACAGTGCGGAGTCGCCTTAAAAGACGCCCTTACCCTTCTCCCTTTTTTTTTTTTTTTTTAATTAGTACCCTTCCGCTGAAGAGATGCATTCAAATACATTATGACACCTCTGTCTGAAGATATTCACCGCTATGTGGTCTAAGGGTAAGACGAAGAAGCAGAGGAAGATCCCGAAAAGGTTCATAAGAAAAATAAAGTAGAGTAAAGGAGACAGAGAGAAACAGAGGTCCAGGAGTCTCAAGAATCGACCGTCGTCTTACATCCTCGTCAGGCAGCTAAAAAAGGTCGCCGATTAAAGACAAGTCAAAGAGTTTAGATACCAAGGGGAATGACTGACGAAGAGATCCCAGCCTCCGAGAAAGGTCCACGCGAGCCCATTGTCAAGGAGCCAAAGAAAGTATTTTCCCTTTGTCGATATATTTTCTCACATTACTTCCCTTGGCTTTTCATTTCTCTCGTCCTTTTTTTCGTGCAAAGCGCCTCGTAATTAGATGCTAATAATCAGCACCCTCGGCAGGAGTCGCTCTCTCCGGCGCTCCGCTGCAACGGGGCGCAAGAAGACCCGAGGCCCTGAAGAGCTTATTATTATCCTAATTATACAATACTATAATGAATGACTCCCGCTCGCGGTCTCTCCTACTTCTCTCTGTCTTTCTCTCGGATTAGTACAATCTCTCTCTCTCACTCTCGCCTTCTCCATCAATCTCTGTATCACAGGCCTTCCGCCTCTCTCCCGGAGATATATTCTCTTTCGTTCTCCTCGCACTTGGCAGTCGAAGAGTGGCAATTCTAGCACTCGGGCTTTTTGTCAACGACGGAACTAGTCTCGTCTCCCTCGCACTCTTAGAGAGCATTATGCGTCATCTCGTATCGTTTCTGTCTCCGGGTGTCTGTTTTAATTAGGCACTTCGCGGATACGTACCATATTCCGCCTATACTCGGCGATCCGCCGAGCTTGAATACGGTTGATGGGTGGTTGAGTAAGAATTATAGGCGCAGGTGACACGCCACTGAGGTCGAAAGAAGGGTGCGCAAGGACCTATATGTATTATATAGATATATAGTACGAAGGCGTGTAGGTAGCTATCTCGAGGAGAGAGGTTGAGCGAGAGACAACTCTTCTCTATCGACGTAGCTATAACCAGTTAGCCAGTCAACCAGCCAGCCCGTGCACCTTTACCACCCTGACTGCATCCGCAGCCCTGCCGATAAGAGCCCGCGAGATTGTCTTAATTGGCGCGAAAGCCGCGCATTCGAAACGATCGAAAGAGGTGCTGTCTACCACTTGCATCGTCTTCTGTTTCGATAAGCACGAAGCGACCAAACCAATCAACTGGACTCTTTCTATCCTGAAGCATGATCTAGCAAAACTACCCAGCCAATTAATTATACTTACCCCTTAATCTCTCCCCTGTTATCTCACGCATGAAAACCTCAAGATTATACCCAAACAGAAGAGACTCCCCTAAAGAAACTTTTCCCCTAGACGCAACTTGACCCCTTAAGTGGTCCAAGTTACCCCCAGCAGATACCACCAGATCGACCTCCGACCCCCCCACCCCCCTCCTAAAGTGGTTATTAAAATTCGTAAAAATATCTAAAAACACGAAGACGAACATAAAGGGGTAAAAAAATGTAAAAAATTGAACAAGCAAAACAACCACTCGGTAAAGGGTCCAGGACTGCTAACATTGCTACAGCAATGGCGGTCTGGTTGTGGTGATGCTGGGTTAGCCACGAGTTTGTTACTACATATAGCCAAGCACCAGTCGGATTCAGAATCTGCGCTCCACTCAGGGCTCTGATCCCCGTCGGTTCCTGGTCCTGCTGTATGAACTCGCCCAGTCGGAAGCAATCTTAAAAATTGCTCCCACTGGCGCCGAACGAAGGCTAAGACTTTCCGTGCACTCTGAATGGATGCATTGTAGGGCATTCAGTGCCGGCGAATGAGCCAGTGACACTACCTCGTTGGGTTCCCGCTGAACCGTGTTCCTTTGCATCCCCACGGGTCCAAATTGCAAGATCAACCTGCCACCCCTACCAGCCTTACTCGCTCTTACCGTTCTTGTTGCTAGTAGAACTTCCTGTGGGGTTTCGAGTCCCTGGTCTCGCTACCGTACCGACGGTGCAGGTTGTTAGTTTTTATGTGTATATCGTTGCGGGGTCGGGGAGCGGGGGTGGCACAAAACACTAACACACGAAGTCAACGCGGCTAACTCATTGACAGACTAAAGAACCTAAAAGGTAAAGAGTTAACTAGGGGTGGTAGGGAAAAGTAATAGCAGAAGAAGGAGGGATGGAAGATGACGCGGAGATTGTATAGCTACTGGTGCTGATACTGATGTTAGTGATGCTGAGCACGATAGTAGGATCTCTGGCTAATATCACAGTCTGCTCGTTCGTTTTCTCTGGTGCACTCGCGCCAAGTCATCCGCCTATCTGTGTCGCTCGACTTATTTGTCCACGACACGGAAAATGCGAAAATCCACCCCGTTTTCCGTGGCTTTCTAGCGGCGGCAGTCTATGTATATTCGTCCAAACATATATATATATACACATCTAGACAGGAGGTACATCTCTGTTTATCTTTCTTCTCATCTCTCTCACACCTACTATCAGCCTCCCTTGGCCCGTAAACCTTTCCTTGTCTCTCTGGAGACAGTATTGTCGAAAAGCTCTGACAGAAAATAGCTGATAATACGTATATACACATACTATACGACGTGAATTTATCGGCGCGTGAAGTCTGCCACGAAATGCGCATTGCGCTGTGAGATAGATAATAGCGCCGAACGAATTAAATTGAAAGAATCCAAGAGAGGGGTCGACGATCCCAAAGGAGCCAGCATCCCAACAGGTTCAGAATCTTCGACAGTCACATTAATTCTTGGAGACACGTCTTGCGTTTGAAGTAGCAAATATTTTTTATTTCTATTCCAATTTTTTATTTTTTTTATTTTTTTCGAAGTTTCTCATTTTTTATCTTTTCTCTCGTGACGTCATCAGTCTTCCTTCTTGTCCCTCCCACCCTGTCGGCCCCTTCGTCACGGACCAATACCGCGACAACACCCGTCCTTGTCAACCCTGTCCTACCCCGAGGTCGGGTCACTATTACTATACTAATTACCCGCCAATTAGTGACTTATGTTTGTTTAACTGCGTTAATTAATGAACGCAAACGTAAACTTCCGAGCTACTTGATTTTTGTGTGAAGTCTTGGGCGATACGACTCCTGGCGCGCCTCGTTACACCGAGTCGGCCCGCACGTTGCCAATGCGGCCTTTTCAAATGATGTCGCATTTTTTTACGTTTCCGACTGAACTCCTTTTAACGCCCGCGACGAGCAACATTTTTTAACTTCCTTTTTATCATATGTCCCCCTATATACTTACCGTCACACCCCACGAGCGTCAATCCTTAATTAATTAGACATTCTTAATAAGCAGTCCCGGGCGATTTTTTTTACCGCTGTCATATACGCGCACACGTGCAATTTGTGTAATTCTGACTGTAGGGACAGTTATAAACTAATCTTGTTGACTGATCGGAATTTATTAACACGTGTATCCTTTTCTTTTGTGCTTTCAGGGAATTCTATTATATTCAAATGGAAAAATACGCCCGCCAGGCCGTATCCGAAGGCGTGAAAAACGCGGAAGATCTTCGGGTCGGTGGCGACTCCGAAATCTATCGGGTACTCAATCTACACTACAACCGCAACAACCATATTGAGGTATGGGGTCCCCAGGTGCGCAAATACACAACACGCACATTTACACTTATGATTTTGTCCGATTAGTGTTTGATTGTTTTTTATAAATTTCTTTTGCCTTACCGTATACCGTTAACGAGACTTGCATCTTGCAAAGAGATCTCTATTGCATGATTCGCGAGAACTTTTTTCTTTCTCATAGTCGAAATTCTTTTTTTTTCAGTAGTGCTACCCGTTATAACAACAATTTTATAATTGTCTATGTGTGTTTTATTATGATTATTATTTTTTTTTTAATTATGATACTTCATTAATATTACTTCGCTTGATAAGCTAATCGAGATTTGTTTACGCTTTGCTCATAATTTCTAAAAAAGAAAATATAATATCCTTAAGATATGAATAATGCATCCTGTGATAGTTATTGATAGTGTAGTGATATATTATCTGAAACAACCTGCAGCTAACGAGCCTTGTTCCGCCATTCTCCAGGTTCCAGGAAACTTCAGGTACGTCGTAGAGCAGACCTTGAAGGAATTCTTCAAGGCCATCCAAGGTGGCAAAGACTCCGAACAATCCTGGAAAAAGTCAATCTACAAAGTAATCTCGAGGCTGGACGATCCAGTGCCCGAGTACTTCAAGAGCCCAAATTTCCTCGAGCAACTCGAGTGAATGCGACCACGACGTCCTCCGTGGTCCACTAACCCGCGGCAGGACACTTACCAGAAAGCCACGAGGAAGAATCCTGCATTCTTGCATTCCTGCATTCCTGCCACGAGGTAGAACTTCGCGAGAAGCGCATCAGGTATCCTTAGTAACATATCCAAACGGCCAGACCGAAAGCACCTAGAATGGAAGGGAGACCACTGTACGAAAACTCTTGAAAAGGCACCGCGAAACGGATCGAGAGAAGAGTGCGAGAGAGAGAGAGAGAGAGAGAGAGAGTAAAAATGAGAGCGAGAGAGAGAGATAGTATGAGCGTCAGAAAGCTTGTGAGACATTGCGTGAAAGTTAGATACCTAAGTAAGACAGTAATATCGGTCCAATGAGTGCGAGGAAGAGAAAACATTTTTCCGAGACGCTAAGAGGAATTCGATGAACCGGAAGAGCACGTTATAGGAAAGGACTTCCTGTGACGTCGCTTCTCACGTAAAGACGTTCGACGATACATTCCGCGGAAAGCGAATCGATCGGGATGTAATAATTAGGAAGAATCGATAACCGATTACGATTATTGTACGCGATATCCAAAAGATTCGTAACTCGATCCGACGTTCTTGGTCGTTCAATTCCATTTTGGCATTTAAATTGCACGCGAAATTGATGCGAGTGCAGAAATAGGAAGTGAAGCGTGTGACAATGTGTGCGTGTATAGCAGAGCGTACGAAGAACGTGGGTGCGCTGGGTACGAGAAGGACGGAAGAGATAAGAAGAAAAAGAAGGAAAATAGCGAGAATGACGTAGGCATGAAAAGTATGTGTGAATCGGTGAGAATTCTTTGCGAAATAATAATTGCGAGAAATACCCAATTATCGAGTTTGTTTTTTGTCTGTTTGTTACCTAGTAATTCGTTACCACATAAACGCTAACTCATTGAACGACAGGTTTAGTCTACTGAAAGAAAAAGGAAAAAATACTTAGCCGTGTAAGTTGTACGATGACAGCGGATCGGTTGCACTCGCGGAGAATGGGATGGATGGACGGATCCAAAGAAGAATAACCAAAAGGATGGAGAAAGAAGTGAAAGTCAAGAGGAGGAAGATCAACGAGGGAGGAGGAAAGGGAGGAGGGGGCATCCAAAGAATAAGATCGTTATCTACCATAAACTTATAAGACAAGTGAAATGTCCTATTGGTCGTTTTTAATACAAAGATGGATCCTGATCGGATTGATCTTTTTATTTGAAATTAAAAAAAAACAAAGTTCTCTCAATATTCCTGGCGAGCAGCAGAATCCGGTGATTCGTTCTCAATATCGCGGATGAAGACGATCGTTCGCGACAAAACGATCCGTCCGTCAGGGGGTCAATGGAAACAGGTGTCAGGGCGGCGTATCGGGCCCTTTTTTTGTCACCTTTTTTTCGCGGGTTAACCTAAAGACCCTTCCGTTAATCCAAAAGCGTTGGTCGTCGATCGAATCCTGAAGATACGAATTTCACTAAAATTGACAAATTTTCGATGAAAAATCTTTTGGGTCCGACCGACATTCGGCGACCCCCCAGGCCTAAACCCCACAGCGATTAGGTACGGATAGCTTTGCTCTTGGTGCCTCGTCGCTGTCGGGCTGGCCTCACTAGAGGGAGAGAGAGAGAGAGAGAGAGAAACGAACTTAAAGAGGATAGGAGATTGCACACTTTCGAAAAAGGTAGTATATGCTATAAAGAGTTAACGACGAGTGAATAATTAAATTAAAGAAAAAAAATATCAATAAAAACGGGCTCGTGTCGCCGATTCGACGCGAAGGCCTACTGTAAACGCCTTTTAAAACGTGCGACGTTCAACGTCCGCCCATTGAGAACGATTATCTTAATAATTAAATGCTTAAAAGGAAGCGAGAGAAGATTTTTTAAAATTAGAAAAAAAATCCCACCGACGTAATACACGAAGGAGAGAATGTCGAATAACGGCCGCGAGGAAAATGGAAAAAAGTTGGATGTCTCTGGTTCGCGAATCCGCAGAGTGCACTAAATCAATCTAATTAATCGAGGGCTCTCGGGTGACGGACCGCGCGATTCGTGCACGTACTACGCGAACACCCTATATAAATACCTAGAGAACAAAATACGACTAATGACACAGCCATAAGAACCAAGTAAATTCACGCGATACACCCTAATAGGAAACTATTGCAGGGAGAGGAAAAAAAAATTAAAAATTATAGGTAATGACGTAGCTGCTGTTGTCATGACTGCTATCAATATATAAAATTACAATGCGTATGCGTGTCAGTGTTTCATTGTCAGTATACGGAGGGGGAATGGGAGGGACGTAGAAAAAGGAGGATTCCCGGTTATCCCGGTTAGCCTTCTAATTTAAATAAGTCAGATATAGTCAAGGTAGAAAAAGGATGAAATACCGAAGGAATGATTGTCAGGAAGGTCGAAGGTCAGGACTATGTAGGTTTTCTAATCCTTTGTTAAGGTATGCAAATTAGTGTGTTTAAGCGACAATGTATTATCGGGTATCGGTGAAGGAATGCTAGTGATCCATATACCTGCGTTACATCTACTCCTAGTTTATATTACGTACCTACGTAGGTGGACGGTGTCGCGCGGTACGACGGACCAGTCAACTGTCTAATATATAACATACGTCATTACACACACACACACACACAAATACACACACATGTCCGGCCGACCCGCGCCAACCACAATTATTTCGACTGGATATATATATATATATATATATCGAATAGATTTCCACGACGACAAAATTTCGAGATTTTTTTTTCCTAATAATGAACAAAAAACGTAAATATGACGTTACAGATTTAGGGATTTAAGATGTACATAAATAACGTTATAACGTGTAGACGATATATGGGGGACGTGACGAAACGAAATTTTTTGAACAAAAGTGTCGGTGAGAGAATGTGAGGAAGAGAGTGATTGAGGAGTGCGTGTATTGTGCGTGAAAAACGGTACGAGTGCGTGTGCCTGAAAGTGAGAATGTAAGACAATCTTTTATTTTTTGTAAAATTTCAAAAAAACCAATTTCGGATACAAATTTTCATACTCTTCACTTTTCTTGTTCTTAATCTTTTTTTGCGTTGAGGGGTAGCATATGCATTACGCATGGTCGCCGTGCGTTAACTGGCACGAAGTGAGAAAGAAAAAAGGTTGAAAAAGACAGAGGGAAAGTGACGGTGAAATTACGTGAAAATCTAAAGGTTCAAATCGGTTCAAGGGTAGGGACTGTTTGGTGGGTACAGCCCGGAAAAGGTAACCACGCGAGAGTGACTACCTAGGCTCAGGCCTATATACACCTGTGTATGCATATGTTGCGTATATCGAGATACATGCCCACATATAACTTTACGTATGTATTTTCGTATAAAGGTATACGAGTCACCTTTCGGAAGAGTCATCAGACAACCCAACACAAGGGCGAGTCGCGAGATTTTGAAAAATTTTTTCAAAAATTTTAAACTGGTACCGAACACTGAGTGTGCATGGATTAGCATGTGGGAGAGAGAGAGAGAGAGAGAGAGAGAGAGAGAGAGAGAGAGAGAGAGAATGAATGATTACAACAGCGAGAAAAACCAAGGCGTAAGGATAAAATGGACAGATAGATAAAGAGAAAGCAAACAAAAAGAGAAGAAAACATTTTTAACGGACGTGGGACAACTAAAAAATTTATGCGCGATAAAGGTGTAACAAGGACGGAGAGAGGACACATTATATATGTACGATTATATACATAGCTGGTAAATAATTAAGAAAGGTTTAGGCTAGTCGCAGAGACGAGAGTACATGAAAAAAAAAAAAAAGAAAAAGTAAGTGAAGTACCGACGGCGTCCTAAGTGAAGTTTAACAAAAGAAAATTAATAATAATAATAATAATAATAATAAATGAGAAGTTGTGTTAACTAGGCGCGGGTACGTATTATAATAGAGTAGATTATATAAATATATATAGAAAATATATATATACATAAAAATATATATATTATAGATTTAAAGAGAAAAATTGCCGGCGAATAGTCGACAGTACATGCAACGTATACACATATGTACACACGCGCGCACTGACGTCGACGAAGACAATTAAACTAACACGCAATCAAATTTGCACATATGCAAATACGAATGTAGGTGCAGTCTTCTCCGTGTTGAATACCTTTCGCGATACCAAATGCAAACACACACACACACACACACACACACACACTCATAAATTGGCGTAATTGGCACACAGACACGAAAAGAGAAACCTGTAGATAGTAATTATACCAGACATTAATTATACATATAGTACATGCATACTTCGGGTGGTAGCAAGTCCTCGTAATCTTACCTACATACCATACCTTACTATTACTATAACTCTCGCTATTATTATTATTATTAAAGAAATTATTATTATCATCATTATAATTGTCACCATTAATCAATTAAACCGATACGATTACTATTATATATTCTCGGCGTCGGGCTTCAATTACCGCCGATAATCACGATTATTAATATTTATCGGCCCACGGCTATCAGTTATCATTTATTATTATCATTAGTTATTATTATTAGTTAATTATTTAGTTGTCCTTATATGTATTCTCATCGCGACTGAGCATTCGTATAAGAGACCTTCGGGTGTCGGGTACGTGGTCGAGTTAGTTGATTTTGAAAATTGACCAATGACTATTCGAGAGCCAACGAGAGAGAGATTGAAGTAAGAGCGAGAGAGACAGTGTGAGTACGTTTGCGAGCGTGCGTGAGCGAGAGAGTGCGAATGTGAATGGAAGAGAGATAGATAGGATAGGTAGATAGAGAGAGAGAGAGAGAGAGAGAGAGAGAGAGAGAGAAAGAGAGAGAGACAGTGACGAGGGGACAATGCGCGTCTCTCCTTTTGTAGCCCTGCGCGGAAGCCCCGTGTAAACGCGTGTCAATTGTCAAATGTACATTTAATTGCGTCGATCATCATTTCCCGAGTACCATTCCGAGTGCCAGCGCCGAAATAACGACGTTTACGTTAACGCCAAAGCCAACGCCAAGAACACAACCCCCCTAAGAGACGCTATACAGGGTGTCGTATGACAATATCCCTGCCTACTTTTTCCCCACTCTGTTTTATCGTTGTCGCGATGCCAATTGCTGAAATTGTATTTTAGTTATCCTTACTATGATTATTATTATTATTATCATTGTCATTATTATAAACCACCGTAACCGCGATTATTATTATTATTATTATTATTATTATTATTATTATTATTATTATTATTGCCACCATTGTATCATTACCCCATATAATTATCTATATAATTATTATTATTATGATAATGATTATTCTATTGCTAGTATAATTAATTACGCATGTACACACGACGTCGAGGGAAAGAGAGAAAGAGATACGTCACTGTTGCATATGCATGGCACTCACGCACTTCGGCACGTAACGCGTACACTTTTTTTGCAAGCGGTGAGTCTTAACCTAGTCACGAGTCACTATTTTTTAATTGATTATCGATCGATTTATTGATTATTTTATTTATTATTCACGCTAATAAAAAAAGAAATGAGACATTGGAACTTTAGATTATCGACGGTGAATATTATTTTTCCGTCTTTCTTTTTATTTTTACTCATTCCTCCCATAATCCTGTGTGTTTCGAGGTCATGCGTTCTTGTGGATATGAGAACATTTCGTTCCTTGCGTCCTGGACTATCGCGGTATTGGAGCCATTATCCTTGAGTTCCTTTATCTGTTATTTTTAGGTTTTGGAAAAAGTGATTATTTTTTTGTCGTTTTCATGCAATTAAGGCAATTCGGGATGGAGGGTCGAAGTCATGAGAATTGAAGGGGTGATGCGAATATCAGGCAGAAGCGAAGGCTAACAGACAGATTTCAGGTCGAGGGATGTGATCCTTATGACGGCACCGGAAAGATCGCAAAAATCGAAGCTGCAGATGAATTAGAAAATATAAATCCGAGAAAGAAAGAGTGTAGGTCGAGAAATGAGTAAAAGAAATTCTAATGTGTACTGTATTATAGTGGAAGATATCGCCTAACGTGAGTCACGTCGACTCGCGAAATTGGCCTAAAACATTTTTGGTCTAACTTCGGTGAAAGTTCGGAATTTTGAAAATTGGAGGTCAATCGGTGATACGACGAAGTCATGAAATATAAAAGAAAAGAGAATGTGATAGTCGTTCTAATTAGAGTTTTGGTATGTTAATTATCTTAAGTATCTACTTCCATTTCGCCCCGACTTTTGGCTTCGATTCTCGTACGATATTTAGGTATAATTTGGATTTTTCGAATCTTTCGGGTGACCAAAAACAAATCATTTCGCATTGACCGAATTTCTACCTTATCAGAGAGAAAACGGGATATTAGCATAGCGAGAGTATACGCCAGTACATGGGTGTTTGAATGGGTATTTACGAATGACTGTGTGAACCGATACTGACACTGACACTGATACCTGCTGCATGTATGCAAGATAAAGAGAAAGAAAAAGGAGAAGAAACGCGAGTGAAAGTCCAATATGAAAAAAAGTAAAAAAAAAATAGTCAGTCAAAATTTGAATTCATAATTCCACTTCCCGCTTGATATCAGCTGACTCACTGTAAATCATTTTGCTGACTAAAGCAACAACGCGACCAGCTAAACCCACTGACGCGATCCAAAGATTTGAAATTCCAGTACAAAAAATTTAGATAAAAACAAAATATTTTTTCTCACGCAAACTATATCTTAGTTATATTTTCATTAAATTTTCTTCCTCCGTCATAACATCTAATATCTTAACGTCGCGATTTTTTTGATCCCGGACAAAAACCCACTACCAGTACTCAAATCACAATTGGCGATACTTGGAAAAAAATATATAATACGTAACAGGAAGATTTGATCAATAAGGCCAATCACTTTAATTGAATTGAATTGGACGCCGCCTTAAAGAGCAGCACGTCATTACTAATGAAACCATATTCGATTATAATGACAGTTAACGAGTCTATCGGAATGAATTCACTTTTCGATATTATATAATATTCAGGAAACACATCTGTATCATTCACATTTTTAATGAGAATTATATACTCGACAATGTCTGGGGAAAGACGAGAATCCGTATGAAATCATTAAAATGCATTTCGAAAGAAGCGATGATTTTTCTTTGGAAATGCCCGGAGCGAGTGGGGCAGCAGAAAATGATAAAAACAGAGGATAACTGAAAGGATTGAAAGAAGTAACGGAAGGATTGAATGAAGGATTAAGGAAGAATTATTAAAGGGCCAATTGGCAAAATCCTCGAGACTGTCAGTGAAAGAGAGGGAGGGGAGTGGGAGTGTTTGCATTATTATCCGTTCGAGTAGAGATCGATCGGCTTGCTCTGTATCTATGCAAGGATGAGAGAGGAGGCAGATTGTGAGTGAAAGCCGGAGCAAAAGGATGAAAGGGTGAAAGGTTGAAGGGTTGAAAGGTTGAAAGAGTGAAGAGTGGGAGAAACAGAGAGAGAGAGAGAAATATAAGTGTGTATACGAGTGTGTGCGTAAGAGAATGACGGACAAGCCAGAAATGGAAAGAAAAAGAAAAATTGTCGAGTGACTAAAAATACGTAGTCAAATTCGTGAAAAAAACTAACCTAACGTAACGACAATTAAATAGTAACTAACGTTAAAATTTGTGTTCTATAATTAACATTACGGTTAATGAACGTGAAAAACAAAAAAAAAGATTACAAGTTACCTTTTAAAGTTATAATTATCAATTGTCGAGTTGAAGGGATGAATACTTTAGTGACGAAAAAAAAAAAGAAAAAAATCAAACCAAGAGATTGTAAGATTCATTCTGACATTTCGTGATTATTAGGAACTATACGTAAGACGTGTATATACACTGAGCGTTAACCAATCCGGAAGGATTGAGATCTTTGAGAATTAATTTTAAAAAAACATTTTAGGAAAGATCGATAACACAGAGTGCAGAATTTTTATGCTAGAGTCCAATAATATTTTTTTCTTCCTAAAAAATCGTCTCTCCGAATGCGGCACGTGATTCGTCACACGTTCAATTCGACGCGGGCCGACTGACAGGATGACAGCGTGACGAGATAACAGAAGAGGCGACAGAGTATAAAGCAAAGAGGGAGAGAATGATTGAACGAATGATGAAGAATGATTGAGAAAAAAAATGAACGGCAACTCTATATATTTATTTTTTTCTTATTTTCATTATTACTTTTTCATCTATTCAAATTTAAAAATAACGATCGAACCATTTTCCGCGTGATAACACACACACACGATAAATCAGGTCTTACACCGTTAATACCGAACGACGAGGATATTCGTAGGAAAAAAATGAGACATGCACTTTAATGATTATTTATTGATCATCCATCGATCCTCCAAACGAAATGCGACATTCCTGTAAACTTTCTCTCGAGAATTGATTGCCTAACGAGGATCGCGGGTCCTTCGAAATTCGACATATCACTCCTAACCCTTACGACGTAGATCGTTAAGCACGTCCAAGTAAACAGAGACCGTCGAAAGCCATTGTTCTTCTCTCGTAATAATCAATTGTTAATTATCGAGGAATTTATTGGAAAATAGAAAAGATCTTCCGTTACGATCGAATCGAGCGTTACTGTTGAATTTTCATATATTTTTCGAACAATGGGCAACAGCCTATTGATACCTCAACCAGAAGTCAGTTTGGTATTCGTTCATACATTCCGTATCTGTTCTGGACAGTCGAGATACACCTGTCCGAGAAATACAAGCAAGATTTTCCGTAATGCAGCAGACATCTCGAAGGGCTGTCGATTCTCCAGCTCCTTGAGATTTATTCATTAGTTTCGGTATAACGAACAGTTTAGAAATTACGCTCGATTCGATCGCGTCGCGAATCATTTGGGATTTCTTTGTGAGAGAACCGGGAAAAGTGGAAGTCTTCTTTTTAAAAAAAAAAGAAAGAAGAAGAGCGGGAAAAGAAATTTAAGAAATTAAAGAGAGAGGATTTTCTACGTGTATAAAATCTATTGTCGATTAGGCGACACAATGGAGATCAGTTAGTAGGCGAGCGATTCTTTTGATGTGGATGCTGCGAAAGCGTAGGGAGCCAAGTGTCCTTGATACGACCGGCGTTCTCGCTAAAAACGAAATACGCGAAGAGAAGAAAGGGAGAGAAATTGTTATAGGAACGTTATGAGAGAAGGAAAGAGAAACTACTCAAAGAACAGATTACAGACTGATTTCGGAGTAACGGGCGAAAATATTTTAGGTGTGAAAACCGATCTTAGATTAAAATGGATGCTGGAGAAAGAGTGACAGAGAGAGAGAGAGAGAGAGAGAGAAAGGAGAGAATGGGAGTAAAAGAAAAGTGAAGAGAGAGAGAGAGAAGATCATAGAGAGTGATTGAATGCGAAATTATACAGATAGATAAAAACGCCGATCTCCTTGGCTACCGGGAGATCCGCCTATATATATTATTATTAAAAAAAAAAAAAACGAACTAGTAGATGATTAAAATTATGATGAAGGAGTGAGAGAAAAAAAAAGAGATAATACTATAAGAACCGTTAGGCATTGAAGTTCTTAGAAATGTGGCATTTTTCACGGAGAAATACAATATCAGCAAATTCTTTCGCCAGCGATAAGTCAAGCAAAAGCTAGACGAAGTAGAGAGCGTGCGATGCTATAGTAAGGTATGAATGCTCGTATAATCCGAATCGACAAAAATTGATGAGAACGAGGTAAAAAAAAAACAGTGAAGAATCGTTACCCGACTCAGTGACAAAATCAGACATGAAACATTGAAATGGATGAAATACAATATAAAAATAACAGAATCACAACTAATCCCATCACCCCCTGACCACCGTAAAGGATCAGCCAAAAAAATAAAATCCGAATCTTACCGAGCAAAGGAAAAAAAAAAAATCAGAAAAAATAAACATTCAACATCTAAACGAGGATCGAGTCTTTCCTTTCGACTTTTGACGAAAAATAATAATAACATTAACCACAAAAGTCATACCCACGTCCACGTCCCATGTATACACACACATACACCCTGTCCTGTCGCGTCGCCATTTTCTCGAACCTCCCGTCAGAAGGAATCCTTTCTCTCGACTCGTAAATACGAAACAGAGTATGCAGAGAGTGCAAAGATGCCTATGGAGGACGTTAATCGATAACCAATCAATAAAACCAACAATAATGGGAAAAAAAAAAACAAATACCGGATCTACAAAAAATAAATATACACAGGATACGTCATATTGATAAAAGTATTTAAAAATGAAAAAAAAGCAGTCGCGTAGATATCATACGTAATAGAGAAGTTAGTAGGAGTAAAAGTAATAATTAGTAAGAGAAGCGAGTATCGGCAATGGGGCAACAGTGAGCAGCAGCCGCAGCAGCAGGTACTAGGAATGTTTGAATGTGCGAGGATGTGAAACTGGGTTGCCGCGTTGTGTCTAGGTCCTAGATAAGATAATAAAGGGAAGATGAAAAATAGAAAGGGAACCGCAGACCCTCTGGCACGAGGCAGCTATGGAACCGATCTCGGCCTTCCGCCCGATTTTTCAAATAGTCGCTTCGACGTACCCTCGACGTACGCCCGAACATTCTGAATATTTGTATATGCTTATATATATACGGTATATCCCCATTCGACACATCCATTAACCCATAACACACGTATTATTAAAAACTACGCCACGAAGTACCACCCGAATAATAATCATGAGATAATTCTTAAGTGACCGTTTCAATGAATAATCATTCAGGCCGATATGCGTCGTCGAGGACGAAGCGACGTGGCGGCCGACGCGATCGGCAGGAACGTCTTGTAAAGATTGTGGGAATTGTTTTTCTGCGTCCCGGCGGCCATTACTAAGTTTTTGTCCGTGCCGGGACACCATTGTCACAGCGATACTTTTTCAGCCTCTGGTTCCCTCTCTTGTAAGGAGATACGAAGTTTTGGGGAAAAAAAAAAGAGATAAAAAGAAAAGAAACCAATTTCTACACCTTAAATTCATTCGATTTTTTCATTTTCCATATATTACGGTACCATTAACTTTTTTACGACATAACCTCTAATTATGGATAAAATTAAATTAGTTGTACCTGACAATGATTATTCGTCGTATATCAATTTTGTTCAGAACTTACCTTATGGCGTTTACTGTAAATTATACCGGTTTTATTTGCAATAGACACCAGCGAAATTGACACATGGATATGTTTTGGCTGATTATACTTACGACTGTAAAATTTGGTGAATATTTGACATTTTTGGATTTAGTCAATATTCGAAATTCACTAGATTTTAGCTCGACTGAATAATTGAATGGATTAATTGGTGAATTCTTGGTGATTAGAAAGAGAGAGAGAGGATGGGGGGTGGAGTTTATGATAGAAAGAGAGAGAGAAAGAGAGAGAGAGAGAGAGAGAGAGAGAGAGAGAGAGAGAGAGAGAACTACAGGCAGCATAACCTGTCTACTTTAATGCATTACGATATTTATCTTGAACTACTAATCTACCATTCGAGGTGATATTACTTTGGACATTTTACTGGCGTTATTCCTTGGTTCGCTTTGAAAATAATAATTTCGCTATATTCGGTTGCGCACGAGACGATAAAAAATAAAAGACACACTATATATTACACTGAAGAGGCAGACTTAAAAAAAAAATTCCGTTTTTGGCAAAACACCAAAAATAATATAACAAAGCTAACCAAGTATGCGAGAGATGATTACGATGAGAATCACATTAGAATGTTGGATACGAGGATAGAATGTGAAATTGATGATGCGAGTAATGGTTAAGATCCACCAAGCAGCACAAACACACACAGTTTCGGCCCGAATCTAAAAGACACATCAAGGAAAAAAGTACAAGTTTTCACGTTTGCGCCTTACATTAAAATTAAAAGTTGATCAAAAACGTATTCGTACCAAAATCGGCCTTAGTATATTTTCCAGCGGACGCGCGCGCGGTACCCCGGGCGGGCATTTCCGGTAAGCGGTACGCGCTTCCGGTATCGGGAAACCTATAACCTCGCAGAAACTCAGCACAAAATCATCGAATAGATTTTTTTCTTAATACCCGACCGGCCCGTACGTTAATTGACCGCGAAACCGCCCGAGGACCGGTCGCGTCCATCAACCCCTCTAGACTCTCTTTTCGCGTAGAAAGAAAAACACTTCCTGCATGTTGACACGAGTGGATGGGTCACCCACGATTAAGAGAAATTTACAAAAAAGAGAAGCCTGCCACGAGTACTCCATCCCAGCCCAATCCCTCTGGACCCCTGCCCCGTGCACCTCTAAGAGGAAAAAAAAGGAATGAAAAAACACAAAATACAAAAAATCGAGCAAGATAAAGAGAGAGCGACCACAGAGCCGTTGGAAATTTTTGGAAAAAAAAAATTTTAAATGCCGCACAGCAAAATTGTATTGAACCATTAAAAATTCAAAAAAAAAAAAATCCGGGAAGCATCACGTCCGTGAAAAATCCGCCCCACGAGCAAAACCCGGACAGATGAGAAGAGAAAAGAAAAAGTGAAATAAAAAAAACAGTGCGGAGAGCAAAAATTTGGAATGTCATTGGAATCGACTTATTTTGGGTGACCCCGCCATGACGTCTGCGCGTTTGGGCCAGCTCGTCCAACTCATACTAGACCGACCGTTAGTTAACGATGTAAACGATGAACTAACGACCTTCGATTGGTTACGTTTGCGTTGACGGTTACGTTTGTTACGTGTGCATACATAACATGTACCCCTAACACGAATCCCCCGTACCCCTATCAACAGTCCACTCACCCAGTCTAATCCGACAGTATGAAATCGGTCCCAACAAGACGGACACATGACGCAATATACTGAAATAAACACTGCGAAGTAATGAATTAACACTGTAATGATTATTAAACGCGACATCGTCTCAGGAAGTCGTCAGATCGCGTCTCGATTCCCCACCAAAGATTGCACTTTGACCCCATTCAACGCGACTGGGGTAAGAATGATAGAAGCGAGTGTAAACTGTACTCGCAAAAAAAAAAAAAAGAAAAAGTACTCTTTCTCGGCAGAGAGTAATTTGGGTTGAAGAGGCCGAAAAATAAATTCTCAAAAAATCCCCCTCAACGGAGAATTCTCTCGATTTCCTAATTTTTGAGAGAACCGAGAATCGGTGAATTTCGCGTGGCGAGACGAGACGTCGATCCCAACGTACTTTCCGGTAACTGAGAGGAAAATAAATGAAATATAAAAAAAAGGGTAAATACGCGAGCCACGGCGGCGAGATGGTCGCTGGCCCACGTGGGCAGAGCTGACTCGATGATATAATAATGAAAACCAAAAGTAATCATTTTAATTGAAGACGTTGCATATAGAGTGTAAAGCGATTTAAAAAAAAATGATAAGCACGTAATTGTAACGATCTACCATTCGATTTCCTGTTTTCATCGATTTTCGCGTGGGACATCGGCGTGTCCCATAACGAGCCTCCCTGCCACCCTGTCCAAGTCCCAGGAGTCCCCTAATGATAAGAGACCCAAGTATCCTCCGCCCCGAAGAGACCCAAAGCCCCAATCGCCAATCTATCCCCCAACTACCCCACAAGGTTTGCTTCCAATCCGTACATGTTACATTGAAACCTAATAACTATAAACTACCTAACAATAATATTAATTATAAATTATAATATTAATTGAATGATACTTAATGATTAATTAATTAATACTAATGATAATGATTAATATAATGATACGAGATACCCGGTACATGGCGGATAATAAACTATCCACTGCGAACGAAACGGTTCTACACCGGTCCTAACAACGGGTGACCAGATCGAAAAAAAGGAGAAAAAAAAATAAAGAAACAAGAATAAGAGTAAACGCGACATAAAGAGGAAAAAAAAAAGAGAAATACACAAAAAGAAAGAGTACAGAAAGTAACGTACGCATCAGCCCTTCGAGACTTTTGATAGCGAACTTCGAGCGAGGCAATAAAAAGAAGAAAAAGAAACTCAAGAACGAGAAAGACATATTTCGCTAAAAAAATAATATTTCGCTTAATAACTAATGAAACGCTAAGGAATGCAAAGAGAGAAGCAGCAAAGAAGAGCAGGAAGCATAGAGAAATAATAATTGAATCCTCGAAGGCGGCGATCGATTAACCTCGCCTATCGACCACCGGCGACCCGGAATCGAAGGATGATGATGATATAATGATAACGATAATTATTATGACGAGGTTGTTTTCTTGTCTCTTCTTTTTTGCCCCGGTCACCCGGTAGATACGAGTACCGGTGGGAAATAATTTTTGTGAAAGTGGTCGTTTCTTACCCATCATTTATACACTAGCTGTAATGAACTTAATTATAATGACACACAACATTACGATACTAATTATATTATTGATATACTTATGATTATGAACTATCCTAGTGGTATATATGACGACATAGTTGATTGATCTGTTTAATGAATGTCTGTAGACCACGGAGCGTTTGGAACTCTATGCTACCCGTTGAGCACCCTTCTTATCCAAATCCACAATCCTTAAACCACCCAATCAACCCAACCATAGAACCACCAACGAACCTTGACCTCAAACGATTAACCTTGAAATGATTCGAATGATAACCTTCCAAAAGGCTCAAATAAATTTTGAGCTTTTATCAGGCAACGATATTAAGAATTAATAACAATAGAGAAATAATATAATACCTACAGGGGACGTAGATACGAAAACCTGAAACTAGATGAAACTGATCGATTCAGAAAAAAAAATATACGCTTCGCATTGGCTAATTGGATTCAAATTGGCTAAATGGGACTTTGCCTTTGGATTGCAAAGATACATGAATTTTTACACGATCCGGGTTTCGGTTTCAAGTTTTAACCGATTTTTCCGTCTAGTCCAAATACTATTATCCAAATCTTACCGCAGATCATTGGAGAAGCTCGTTTTTAATTTTTGAAAAAAAAAAATCCATACTGTTCGTTAGAATTGGACGATTTGTAGAATATTATTAAAAAATATACCGGACTATGTTAAACTTTCATCTGTAACGTTTATATTAGATGCAAGTAATATATTTTGAATGCACATCAAAATCGGTTTCAAACACCGATTCCATTTTCAAAATTGTCCATTTCTAACGATATTACAGTAAGTCAATATTCGTACAACAACTGTTTTTCATCTAACTTTGCAAATCCATAGAGCCAAAAATCCAAAATTATTGAATTACCAAAAAAAAAAAAAACGAAATATCAAGCAATATTGAATTTACTAAAAAAAGAGACAAGATCAAGAAATAAGTAAATTCTCAACAAAAAAAACCCTCTGCCATTTTTACCGATTAGCGAGCTGCGAGATGCTAATCAAAACCAGACCTCTTTTGAGTTATCATAACCAAGTCGACTATTTGCTTCGTTTTAAATATTTTGTCAAAAAAAAAAAGAATGATGCAGCAACATCAGCCATCTAATCCCCTATCCATTTGGCCACTCGAGCCCCTGATCCCCTCCACCTGCCCGCACAAAAAGAAAAGCCTTACTTTCCCCACCAACATTTCCATAGAGTCCGCACAATTGTTAAGTTAAGTTTTTCGTAGCTAGTCAATTCCTTTGTATATTATTCAAAACGTGTGTTTTACGATTAGCTCGCTGTCTTCAATAGTTAAGAATGTTTTATCTAGTAAGTTTTTATCCCGTTCCCAAAATTGACCCATCAACCAATCTAATCATCTATCCATCTAGCTATCCACGTACCTATATTTATCTATACGACCCAATATCCAAAATTCTATAAAATCCAATTTCTTGGAATGGCGTAAATACGTAAAACGAAGGGGGACGCCTTGGCGTCACCAGGCGCTGTTATGTTGCAACTGTTGACCCGTTGACGAGGACGCCCGGCGTCCTGACGTCGTTTATCCCGTTAACGCCAATAAGCATCCCGTACGTTGTCGCAAGCTTACGATTAGATCGCCTGGCTCTAGTTACTAGTTTGCCATTTTCACAGAGGGTTAATGGACACTAAGGGAACCAGTATTAATTCAGGGAATCTCCGCAAGATGTCCCTCTATCCTTTCTGGATAATTAAAGCGAAGAATTCGCGAAAACGCGAAACTATTAAGAGTCACTCTGAGCGAAGAAAAAAAATCTCACGATGATTTCGAGACATTTTCATTGTCAGAGTGAAATAACATTTTCCAAATTTCTTGTGCAATCGAATACGTGTGTCGATATACTGCAATATCGTATCGACACTGTGTTCTTACGTTCTTCCGTGCTAGTCAGCGATTTTTCCCTCTCCGATACAAAATTATTCAAAAATATTCTTATCAATCACCCCCCCTTCCCCCCCCGAACACCCTCTCCACTCACCAACGCTCTTTCAAACAGTCTCTACATTATGCCCCGATTCCGGAGTTTCCTTTTTGGCAAGGCCCAATTACACTTCCTGCCGATACTTATTGTACTCAGACCTCAGTGAACCACAGTGAAATGTGACAGACAGTCTGTGTGAAAACTTTTCATTTTATTGGAAAAATTTCTTAAGAACATTTCACCGAAATACACGTCGTATGATTGACCGTGATTGGAGGCACACGTATACGCTTTTTCGAGCTACTAACCGCAGTGGCGTCAATGCACATATTTGAAAACTAGGTATTACACTCGAAAGACGTCGATGTATACTTCCGTTTAAGATTCTTAAGAAATTTTGCCATCCGACGACAGCAAGCAATTTAAGGATTAAAGAATCACATGAAATTTAGATTCACCGGTTTTCAGTTGAAAAATTGACAGTCAATGTCCTATTCGGTGCAGTAATCGGGTCTGCTACGGAAACTCCCGAGTCACCCCGAAGTTAAGTTCCGCCTGGGCAAGTACAGGCGAGCGCCGGTCCGGCTCTCAATTTTGAAATAGCCATTTCGACGAAAGCGAAAAAAGCGAACAGACCCTCAAAACCCGACGCAATAGAAGAAGGCAACCGGATCAAAATACCGCCATATTAAGAAACAGTTTCTCGCGTGGGGCCCGGAACCGGCTATGACGTATCAGTCACGTGGGTGCATAAGGCCCTCGGTCACGTGATAGCCGGTACGAATTATCACGGGTCCCACGTCCTCTCTCACTCACAGCACACACTGGGCCGACTCGTCCGATAGAATGTGCCTTCAGTGTTGATTTTATACGAAAAAAAAAAAAAAAATACTAAAATTATACAAAGGGGCCCGACATAGACCGAATGCCCACCCAAAGCCAGACTGGTGCTCGCCCACTGCCCCTTTTTTTATCACCAACCGGTTACACGAAACTGCACACTTTCCTGTATCCTTATCAGCTGGACACGAAACCCGGTACCCTGGTGAACTATGACCCGAAATCATTATCCTCCAAGCCTACGTTATCCCAAGGCAATATTCGTCATCGAGTTAACCCATCTAGCATATCGTAACAGATACCTTGATCATAGTGGGACTCAAAAAAATTTTTTCACCAAATTCACCAGGATTCTGATTTTCCATCGAAAGATAAGGAACATTCCTTCGAAACAAAATGGCACAAATTCACACGAAAATCAATTACCCCATCACGTCGTACACACATTTAATACACAACATATCCATACACAGTACGGAGATACAGATACACAGAAAAAACAAAGTGACGAGCAAAGATCAAGCGACGTGCACTCGCTCGCGCAGGTGCACTTCGAATAACAAAAAGTAAAGATCAACCAAGTGCCCCGGTTAGCCTGAATCCCACAATAGCCAAAGGCCAAAAACCATTTTGAAAATATTACGAAACATCACTAACAAAAAAACACCGTCACCACTACCCCGACCCCCCACAAGAGATTTTGGTTCAGGCAAGGAGTTCGGAACGCTGCTATCACCGATACACATATATTTATTAAATACAATTACTATACGATAAGTACTTACATATATATGTGTACTATGGTCTCTCCCACTTCCCATCAGACAAGCCAATTGAGTTGGGCCGCGGTTCAGCGACCCTCGACTGTGGCCAAGATCAATCCTGATGTATCAGATCAAACCAACGAGATCACCGGATCCCAGAGCCAATTAAAATCGATTATTACATCGACGCTCAATGATGGAGATCCTTTCCTATCGATCTAATCAGGATCGATCGGCATCGCGCACCTTCACGAATCTGTCCGTGATCGCTGGACCTCGCCGATCGAGTCATTCCCAATCTCCCTCTTTCCCTGCCCCTCCTCGTTACCCTAAATTCCGATCACCGTCAGACCGAAAACTGACCTATCCCATCCCCATTGAGCAACCACATCCATAAAGAAAAACAAGACCCAGGCAAAATCCTTTTGCCTCCCCCCCCCCCTGCCCCGATTACCCTTCAAACAGCCCATACAAGCGTAGAATTAACCGCATAACTATGAAAGCTACATAAACTAACTAACTAACTACGATTACTTATTAATTATTAACGATTACGCAGTAAACAGTATAAACAGTACCCAGTAACCATGAATTGTGTGTCGACAACTACATACTACTACCTACCTATATCGAATAATAGCCGTATGTAAAAGGAAACTTGTATTCTACCAGTTGTATCAAGCAAGTCCGTTCTATAAGTAAACGATTGAACCCCGGAAACCCCCCACCCACCCACTACCAATCATCCAAAGAAAAAGCTCGCCTGTCACTCATAAAAGAAAAAATCCAGAAAACCACAAACAATCCCCTGTCACACATCGATCCCCCGGTCCAAGTAAACAAATCAACAACCCTCATCCTTATCGTAACGAACCATCCAGCCTGAAAGCACACGCCCAGCTCCCACCTACTCCCAATACCTTAGAGATCAGCTTCGATCAGCGATAAATCCTCTGCCAATTACCTGCCCTGCAGTGACACTGGATAACATTAATTATCTAACTACTAGCAATCGTAGGCAGATTGTAAAACTTCATACACGTTGTACGCACATGTGTGGGGAGACCATGTAACTTTAGCTCCGCCGCTCATTCCACGCATCCTCGCACAACGTAAGCCTGCCGAACCTTCCAATAAGAAGCCACGCATTACCGGACTTTGGGAATGATCGAATTACTATGGAATTGCGTAGTCGCAATGTATTGATATGAGAGAGAGAGAGAGAGAGAGAGAGAGAGAGAGAGAGAGAGAGGATGCCATTGTTAGATGATGCGTGATGGTGCGCTGGTAAGGTGCTATGGTGCATAATGTGCGAGGATGCGACCATAATAGCCGCTGGTGTAGCAGCTAGCGCCCTTAACTTTAACCCTTAACAACCCCACATTGACATTTCCCACGATTCCCTACGTGTTGTATTATCCGTTATTTTCGATATAATATTATATTAGTAATTAATGACATTTAATGATAACGTGACGATGATAAGGTATGGGAGACGTTTGGTCACAAACAAGAAACTAGTTGCCGTGTTTGAGAAAAGAAAAAAAAAATCACCACCACCGTAAGAGAAAGAAAAAAAACAACAACAACAACAACAAAAACAACAACAACAACAACCACAACAACAGTAAATAACAACTGACCTACCCGCGGGTCCGCTTCGTCTTCGTTCCCGTCGAGTCGACGTCACGACGTCCATAACAATTATATATACGGGATCCTCTGTCTATCGGCGTCGCCAGGACTCACACGTGCATCCCAATGAAGAGACCTGCCGCCGTCCCGACGCTCGAGACTTGGCCCTCGTCGCGACGCTATTTTCTCAGTGCAATCCGCGTCGGCCACGCCCACTGTTCTCTCGCGAGATATACAGTGCGTTACGTTATCACGTGATTTCCTATTTTCTCGATAACGTCGGGACGGTGACGTCGCGACGCTGCGCGATCGTAACGATCGTCCACGTGCGTCCTGGCTCACTGCCCCTTGGACAGCTGGACGCGTATGGGACATATGTGCGTGGACTCTTACGGGTGCGACGTTTGCCTCATAGCTGACATTTTTGTACAGGATAAATGCATAATGGTATAATCTTGAGTTACAGAGCAGCACTATACATACAACACAGATGATGTATATATTTTTACGTTACAGAATATGCCTGGCACTACAGGCGCCATAAGACTGGTTCTCATTTCCCATGACAATGCGTACATACCATATTTACATATTGTAATAAAACCTCGTGATATTTATATACAGTAAAGCAAAACAGTACCAGGAATATATCATGCAAGAGTGATAGGATTGGGGTACGACCGCTCGCAGCACAGCGTACAGACTGTACCGCGTTGAGATTCGCGCGTAGCGCTGATTTTTGGGCTCACGTGTACCACTTACGATGTATATATGTATACATATTGATTCCCGTCAATTTTCAACGATACCACGACGATCGTTATCGGACGCGAATTTAAGATTGACGATTTTGAAATTCACGATGAGACCCTCGGTTAGCGCTACGTGAGTCTGATGTGGTACTCGATGGGAGAGAGCTTGGCAAAGTACCAATTGGCCATTCAACCAAAAGAAATCACAAGCTTTATAAAGGAACGACCAAATTACCATCCTGATTTAACGATTCGGCCGTTATTAACCCAATCAGAAGGAATTCTAAAATCTCATCGGCTATTGAATGTTTGGGACGCGATAGGACGAGGATGCGTTGGTATCGGAGTGGAGAACGAGATAGCGTGCTAGGGGAGTAAAGAGAGAGAGAGAGAGAGAGAGAGAGAGAGAGTAGAAGGTGGCGATTGTTCGATGATGAAAGACGTCGTGTATAGGAAAGATAAAAGTGTGTTGCTTGCGGCTTACCCCAAAAGAAAAAGAAAGAAAAACAGAAGCATAACGCGGGTAGGAGTCTTCTATGAATCCTCGGCGTAACTTTCAATATTTTTGAATCGCCCGCCGAGGATATCCTGAGTTTGATAATCCGTGCTCGGGCGACCCTCCCTCTTCCCGACGCGACCCCAGCCGTCGTGTAGGATCGGCGTGGAGTGAAATCGCGGGCGTTACCCCTGGCTCGACGTCGGTGGCTTCTTGTTTCTCAAGGGTCTCGCGAGCGAGTTGGTCCTCGGGATTGTGAAGCACCCCCGCGGGCGGGCAATGGCCTAAAATTAAATGCTTTTTTTCTCCTCACGGATGGCTTGATAGTAAATTAAAAAGGGTTGTAGAGGGGGGTAGGGGGTGGGAGCGGGCTGCTCGTTGTTTGTATCGTCGCATCTGACTATGAGGGATGAGGGGTAGTTTTTATGAAAATATCGAAAGCCGAGGACCTTCGATTTCCAAAACGTCCCTTGAGAAGGCGAAACCACGAACGGGGCCAATGATGACGCGCTGCCGAGTGCCCTGTAATCGACGACGGGGTTGCGAAGGGATCGCCGCCTACGAGATAAGGGATGGAAAAGAGGGTGAGGGAGTGGGGGGAGAGAGAGGGTTGCCAATAGAGCTGATGACACAATTTTGAGTTGCAGTGCAAGCGAACATCTGTAGAGCCATATACATATAGAATGTTGTTGTATCTTAAAGGATAACGTAGTAGGTGTACATTGTAAGGATTGCGGTTGCAGTGAAAATTCTGACAGCGAAGCGTATTTAAGTACTTCTTAAAGGGAGAGAGAGAGAGAGAGAGAGAGAGAGAGAGAGAGAGAGAGAGAGAGAGAGAAAAGAAAAGAAGAAAATTGGTGAGAATGTACGAGAGAGTGAGTGCAATGTGTGTGTATCGATATGCGAGTTCGTGTGCGTCGATAATGATGATCATAATGCTGATGATGTTGACGATGATGATGATGATGATGACGGATGCGGAAATATGAAATTGCGGAAAATTCGCGAACTGGTCATCGGCGGCCCCGTCCGTAACGGGTGCAAGTAATTTTAGGTGTATAAAAATTATTCTCGCAGTTAGGGTGTTCTAAAGAAATTATTGTAAAAAAAGTTTATTATAGGGGAGAAATTTTACTGTGGCCAGGCTCGAAGGCCGTGGAACCCTTTGGAACTACTGAAGGGAGGAGGACTTGGTAGGAGTTGGCGAGGTCCTACGATGAGAGAAAGAGAGAGAGAGAGAGTGAGTGCGAATACATGAGTGGATTGAAAGGGTGAGAGAGATTGAGTGAGCGAAAGGGTGACGAGAAACTATAACGGGTGGCGATAAAAAAAATTATTGTAAATTTTCGAAGGGGGGATGTTCAGGTCGGCCGATGACCAAGGTGCGAATTATCAAAAAAAAAAAAAAAAAAAGAATAACTGAAATTCAAGCTCGAAGTTACAAGGGCGCCGTCGCGCAACCTAACCAATATGCCCGGCTCGATGTTTCTTCTTTCTTCTTCGATTTCGCGGAATTCTATGAAACCGAAACAAGGGAGATAATAAAGATGGCGGTTAATTTAGTAAAAGACGAGATATATGCCTTTCGTGGGATTTCGGGAGGGGTGGAGTGGGACGAATACAAAAAATACAAAAAAAAATAAATAAATAAATAAACCAAATACAAAATTACCGGGTGAAAAATTTTAGATTAAACGAGGAGGTAGAAAATAAAGAGTTAAAAAAAAACTAACGGAGCGACGGCGGCGAGAGATCGGGGTGGATCGGCCACGGTCGGGGGCCCTAGCCTATTCTCTATTGTTACTACGAGGAGACCTGCGTGGACTTTTCGGCGGCGAATGAATAAAAAAATGAATAAATGATATTGAAAATGTACGAAGAATATCGGCGCCCCTGCCAATTTCGACGGGAGCGGTGCTTCTTTCGATTTCGAAAAAAAAAGAAAAAAAAAAAACTTTCTCGGCTTTTATATATTTTTGGCAACGATATCTTGAATACTAATTAAGATTTAAGCGCAACAAGACGAGGGAATAAAATATAATAAAAATTATTAATGACAAAGTGACGCGTGAAACTGCACGAGACGAGCGTGAAAGTTTCGCTGATTGTAAGTAGAGGTAAGGGCAACGCGTTAAAAAAAAAATCGCGTTGTCGTTTTTTGGAAAAAAAAATTTTCGACAGGTCGAATGGTTACTCGGGGGATGGCTGGGGGCAGGAATGGAAAAATATGTGGGGGGCGAGAGAAATTAAGTAATATTTAAATATTCGTATCAAAGAAAAAGAAAAACAGAAAAAAAACTGTGTAGGGCCTCAAAGTACCGGAGAGCGTGGAAGAAACGAGAACAAAAAATCGCGAGAAGGGAGAGAAGAAAAATAAGTAAAAACGGGGGGGGGG